TTTCACTCGGCGAGGTCCGAGTGCTTCATGTCCCTACAACCTCTCAGTACGCGGACATCTTCACGAAGGGCCTGCCTACTGCTACATTCACCCAATTCCGGTCCAGCCTCAACGTTTGGCAAGCCCGCGCTGAGACTGCGGGGGGCTGTTAGACTGAGATCATAACCGGCAAGTTGGTCTTGCGCCAGCCGTGCTGGTCTCCCGTGCGAGTCGCATGGCACCGCCCTTGCATGAGCCATGCAGGGTCAAGCCGTCTCTATCTACTCCTTGGATATAGGATCGGCTGTTGCTTAGCGTGTGTGTGCGTGCGTTGTATCCTCTCTCCCTCTCTCAAAGTGTACTCTCTTATATATGCTGCCCCTGAGAGGATGAATACAACTTGCATACTGAGCTCATTCTTATAGTTTAACAGAAACTAAAGTACAGTTCCCCGCAAAAAGAAACTACAGTACCGTTTTTTTAGCTATTTGTTTTACTTTGTCAAGGGAAAGAGAATCCTATTTGTTTTTTTAGGGTTTAGAGAATCCTATTTGTTTTTTGGGCGGTGCTACGCGTCGGCCGGCAGATCTTTTTAAAAGATCCGCCACCTCATGAGCTATTTGATTATATGAGGCGATCAGTCATTTCTTTTTCTCTAATCTGCAACAATACTCTTGTTGCAAAACTTCTTCTTCTCTAACTTTCTGCAACAACAGTCATGTTACAAAAAATCTCTTATTCTCTAATTTTCTGCAACAAGACATTTGTTGCAAAATATTCTCTTCTCTAATTTCCTGCAACAAAATCCATGTTGCAAAACTTTTTCTTCTCTATTTTTTCTGCAACAAGACCCTTGATGCAAAACTTCTCTATTTTTTGCAACAAGACCATTGTTGCAAAACCTCGATTGCAATAGGACCCAACATCTCCAGCCTCTTCTGTGTATTCCCGCAACAAGAGTGTTGATGCGAAAACTTGCAAGAACGTCGACGGATGCAACAGAGAGAGCACCCCATGGTCTCTACATCACCCACTCTTTTACGACGAAGGAAGGACGCCAATTGCCGCTGCCAATGTGGTGGGGTTGCAAGAACGTGCTTGTTTGAGAAGAGGTGGGGATGAGATCCAAGGAAATAGGCTGGGAAGGAGAGATGGAGGTAGGGGATGAGAGGGTCAACGGAAGAATGCGTGGCTGTTGCGGTATGCCTTTTCGAAGCAGGTGCCCAGTTGCAAGAACTGGAGTACGGAACGCTCTGCATGGTGAGATGACATCCAGAATTTTGGTGGAGATAAGGATGAAAGAGAGTAGCGGTGCGCTGCTCATCAAGACGCGTGTCAAGCATAGAACACGGCAGATGTGAAGGAAAATATCCACCGGTTGACCAGTAGCTTTTCCCTTGTTTTTTAGGAAAAAAGAATCCTATTTTTAGGCAAGAGAATCCTATCTGTTTTTTTTAAATCCTATTTGGTAGTACAGGCCAATCGGCACACAACGCCCAACTCCTACCGTAGTTCCTATGTGGTTTGGCCCAGGTAGTTTTTTTTTACTCACCGATTTTGGAAATCTTCGGTTCCCTTGGTTTTCTGGGCAGGTTTTGTTTGTGTTTTTTCTTCTGTTTTTGGGCCGGTTTTCCAATTCGGCTTTGTTTCTTTTTTATTTACATTTTTAACATGAAATTTTCAAATTTCATTTTTTTACCAAACTCATGAATATTTATTTCAAATTTGTGAATAAAAATATTTATTTCTTAAAATCAGCAAAAAATTTGGATTCGTGAACAATTTTTAAATTCATGCAAAGTTCAAAATTATGAACTTTTAAACATCTGTAAGAAGCAAACCGGTTTTTTATGTGTACTGGAGTTTTTTTAACACGAGAAACCAAAAAAAAGAGGTCGATCAAACCTTTCCAGCAAGTGAGCGAGAAAGCTCTTTCCCAATGATTAGTGCGCCCTGAATTCGTGTTAGCGCTCGCATGCGCTTTCAGTGGGCCGTGGCCCACTAATGAGCATGAAAGAAGTTATTATTGTTCTTTTTGGCGGTGAAATGGTGATAGAGAGATTTGTGCCATCGCAGATTTGATTATTCGGATTTAATGAGTTTATGTTATTGCATCATGCCGTTTCTGTTGGTTTATTTCTTTGTGGACTGGAATCTTTGCTCGACACTATAATGCACATATTGTGATTCAACGGCCTACACTTCTAAGAAATCATCCGGCCGAAGTACGTTCATTACTCAAGTCTTCTCATCTTTTGGATGAACGACTCAGGGGTCCTTCAAAAAGCTTTATTAGTAATCAAGTTCGGGAGGGGGGATTGAGAGGGTGGCCATATCGTCACTTCGGTCTAATTGTTGCATTTTACTAAAGTATTAAGAGTATTTCGTCTTGAGAGATTTATACCATGGAGAAGATGTCTTCAAGAAACATCATCGTAAATCTTTGTTATAGGAGTTATTACTAGCAAGATGCCCGTGCATTGCACGGAACATCAAGATGCATTTTTTTTACAAAAACACCTGTTACGATTAACCCATGCAGGAGTAATCCCATGTGTAGAAACTAATGATATCTCAAGAATTTTATCGGAAAAATGGTATCTCGAGAATTTCATCGAAAAAATGATATCTCGAGAAAGACGAGAGATAAGGTGAGGAGAAGTGGGGCGTTGTGGTGACTGGTGGTCGGACTGGGCGGAGGCATGGTGATGGATGGCGCCGGCAGCGGCCACCATGCCAGATTGTTCCAGAGACTTCCTTTTTTAATTGCTCAACAATGAGGTTGTGGGAGATAAGGATGAACGAGGCAAGGCCTTATTTGTAAATGTGAAGAGAGGTGCGGGTATCTTTTATAAAATTGTCATAGTTTGCTTTCAGTCTGTGAGATATAGATACGGTCCATATTACAAGATGGCAGACACACAACATTACCAACTCGTTTTTTAATAAGAGTAGAGATGTATTTTCTTAGATCTTGTATCCAATGCGATGTACCTGTAATGGCTATGAGTATGGGTTAAACTACAGGGTTCTCTAAAAATACATTGATTTGATGGAATATCACATTCTTAGTTGGAATTCCATAAGATTGAATTCATATTTGCATTGCTATAGTTTCATGAGCAATACGTCGATCCATTATTTATGTTGTTGTAGTACCCTTTTCGTTCCAAATTACTTATCGCATAAGTGGATTGATCGGTTTCCGAGGGAGTATCTTTTTTAACCACTACGTGGACGTATATCATGTGACGTGGCGTGCCCAGCTTAATCACTTCCCGCTCGGAACAGTCGCACTGATTAAGAGCTCGGCACCGCCCCCTGCCTGCATCACGACGACAATGCCCTCCTCGGCACCCGGCGAGACGATGCCGCACGAGACGTGCACGGGCTTGCACCCATCCAGCACGGCCTCCTCGAGACCGGCCTCTTGCCAGCACGCGTCCCGAAGCAGGTGCCCCGGAGGCGTCGTCGTCGTCGTCGTCGTCTCCCCGTCACCTCCCGCGCAGGAGCGCAGGACGTTCAGCCCTCCCAGGCCATCGCCGGCGAGAACCGTGAACCGCGTCGGCTTCTCGACCCCCAGCTTCTCGCTGGCCTGCGCGACGCACGCCTCGGCCAGCGCGCGGCGGCCTGGCGCATCGCCGACGACCCTGAAGAGCACGGTGGTCGCGGCGTCGCCGGCCACGGAGACGAGGGGGATGGACCTGAGACGCCTGGTGGCGGCGCGTGGGTTTCGGAAGTAGCGCGTGTACCGCAGCATCTGGTTGGGGACGAGCTTGTTCTGCGCCTGCACCTGCGCGTGCGTGCGCGCCCACGACTTGAGGAAGTTGATGAAAGACAGCGGGTCGGCGAGGAGCAGGCTGCAGCACGCGCCGATGGCGTAGCCGCCGCCCCGGAACCACGTCAACTGCGACCAGAAGCAAGCACGACATTTCTGCGACTGCGATTTGTATCTCAGGAGGTACGAAAATGCACGAAGGGGGAGTTCATGCATGTATACCTGCATGACGAAAGGGGAACACTTCTCGGGGTCCTTGGCCTCCACGTCCGTCGAGAGCGCCAGCGCGGGCTCCTTGCTCGCGCGGTCCTCCGCCTCCAGGAACGCGGTCAAGGTCGTGTCCGCCGACGCCATGAGCAGCCGCACGCCGGCGTCGCAGAGCTTCACGTCCCAGTCCCACGGCCCTTCGCCGCCGCCGGCGTGCCGCCGCCACAGCCGCCCGGCCATCTTCGGGTGGTCGGCCAGCGCCTCGCTGAGCGACTCCTGCACCCACGCGGCCTGCTCCAGCTGCGCCATCGCCTCGCCCTCCAGCCGGTCGCGGTAGTAGAGCACCGCGCGGAACCGGTGCTGCAGCTCCGCGGCCGCGATCGGCGGGCCGGTCACGGCGATGGGCAGCGTCCGCCCGCGCTCCAGCGCGACGCGCGTCGGGACGGCGGTCTGCATGGACTCGACGTGGATATGCGCCATTCTGGCTCGGCGTCTGCGAGCGTCGCCCGTGCGCGCGCGGCCGACCCTGCCAAATATTGCCGAGAAGTGGTGTATTGGAGAACACCTGGAACAGTGCCCAATTTATACGCGGTATGTGCAAGTTTACGTGCCATTGCCATCGACGCATCGTAGTATTTCGAGTCGTTTGATTCTGGCTCTGCGTCTGTTGAGGTCACGCGCATGCTGTGTTGCTGCTGTTGAAATCGAGCTAGTGTTTCGGACTTTCTCCATCGAGGGAAGTGTCACAAACTGTCATGTTTTTTTTTTGAGCTCACAACCTCACAAGTACTGGACCGTTGAAAAGCCCAACTATGTCGACCAAACAAACAGGCCCAGTCCAGGCTAAACCGGGCCGAGTGGCAAGGTCATAGAACCCACTCGTGTTGTCTCTTCTTCCGTCTCTCTGTCCGCCTCGCCGCTCCCTCCTTGTGCGCATTTGCCCGAACACTCCACGCGCGCCGCCAGCCACCCTACCTCGCCCACTGCCGTCTCCTCCACTCACCACACCAGCGACCTCCCCCGCCGCCGCCACGCCATGCAGAAGGTGCGGCTCAAGTGGGTGAAGAACCGCGGGCTGGACCACATCATCGACCGGACCACCTCCATCCGCGCGTCCTGCCTCATGCTCGACTACCTCGCCCGCCAGCCGTCGTCCCCGGTGCCGGCCCGCGCCCTCGCGCGCTTCCAGAAGCCGCTCGGCCTCACCGTCCCCGTGCTCCGCTTCCTCCGCCGCCACCCGACCCTCTTCGCCGAGCAGCCGCACCCGCGCTTCCCCACCCTCCCCGCCTTCTCCCTCACCTCCGCCTCCGACATCCTCCTCGCGCGCCTCGCCCGCGCCTCCGCCGTAGACTCCCACCTCCGCCTCGCGCGCCTCCTCCTCCTCACCCGCTCCAGGTCGCTCCCGCTGGCCTCCATCCTCCCGCTCCGCTTCGACCTCGGCCTGCCCTACGACTTCGCCTCCTCCTTCCCCTCCTCCCACCCCGACGTCTTCGCCGTCTCCAATAACCACATCTCGCTCTCCGCCTCCCGCCTCCCCGACGATATCGCCATATCCTCCCTCCAGCGCCGCCACGCCGAGGCCATCACCGGGGCGACCTACCGCAACCTGTCCCGCCCGCCGTCCTCGTCGCATGCCCCCCTCGCGTTCCCGATGCGGTTCCCGCGTGGGTACGGAGGGATGAAGAAGGTCAAGGCCTGGATGGACGATTTCCACCGGCTGCCTTACATCTCCCCGTATGATGATGCCTCAGGGATCGACCCTGACAGCGACATCTACGAGAAGAGGAACATTGGTTTGCTGCATGAGTTGCTCGGGCTGATGGTGCACAAGATGGTCCGGAGGAATGCCATCCGGTTGCTCCGCGAGGAGCTTGGCCTGCCTCACAAGTTCACGAGGTTGTTTACGCGGTATCCTGGAGTGTTCTACCTGTCGTTGAAGTGCAAGACGACGACACTGGTGCTTCGTGAGGGGTATGAGAGGGGGAAGCTTGTGGAGAAGCACCCCCTCGCGGCGGTGAGGGACAAGGTACAGTATGTGATGCGCACTGGCGTGTTGTACCGTGGGAAGGGCTTGTCCAAGCTGGTTTTAGACGAGGATGACGACGAAGAGGAGGGTACACTGGATGGAGATGAGGAGTTTCAAGGAGAGGGGATGGATGAGGATGCTGATGTTGAGTGCTTTGGTATGGAGATTGTGGATGACGACGGGCCTGGCAATGATGATTATGATGAACGCGATAGTTATGATTGACACTGGATGGTGATTTCTGCGTGCCGCATGTTGCTGTTTTGAGATAATGGGTGGTGACTTCACTCAGGTGAGGATTTCAGCAACAGGTTTCAACTTAGTACCTGTAAACTAGGGGTTCACACATGGCTTTCAGCAACCTGAAAATGAGTGGTTTCAGAAGGCAATCATAATACCATTGTGAATTGCTAGTTCCACTAAATTTTTGATGTATTTTATATTGTCTGCTTGAGATGTAGAAAGCTTGTTTAGATACCTAGTTTCTATGGTCATCTTTTATTTGTCGAGGTGAATGTCCCTATGGCTCTCTCTGCTCTCTGGATAGCATGAGATGAGAGTCATCACGATTCAACTGTATGTTAGATAGTTAACCGAACACATTTTCATGTACAGCTTCTTATTCAATTTGTGACACACACAAAATAGAGTTGCAGCTATCTTAGGTTTGTTGATTGTTGTAATGAGTGGCTGTATTTGCCAAAGGGGGTATTACTGTAGAAGATGTTATCACATCTTCCTTTCTTTTCTCTTTTTGAGGGAAAAAGATGTTATCACATCTTCTTGGGGAAACCATTATTCTTGTTGGTATATTAGAAACTGTCAAGCCATAATGTAGTGTCTAGTGCTAGAGGTACTCTAACCCTTATAATATTGCTTGTCATGGGGGCTAGAAAATTAGAAATAACTCAGAAGGCAGCTTGATACCTGGATGTTGGATAGCCTAGCTTCGAGACGCTTAATTCTCTCTGTCTCTATTTCAGGGCATGAAGCAAGCCTCACAAGGACTAAGTTATGAACTTTAGCCAGGTTATGGCTGCAAATTAGATGTCGGTTTTGTAGGTGAGACTTAATCCTGTTTGGGCAGACGATGATTTGATCAGATTTGGGCAGACAGTGACCAAATGCAAACTATGATTTCCTTGATTGCAGAAGATCTGCTTGGAATTTTATTGAAGTTGGAATAAAATGTAGATATTTCTTGATTAAGTTGGCTCATTTGTGAGGTGGAAAACATTTATCTGTTGCTAACCTTTTGTGATGACAACCAGCCTCTCTCACCAGTCACCAATGATAGACATGAGTGTGGCAGTGTCTCTGACTCCTGCTCCTTACAATCTTTCCAGCCAAAGTGATGCTGACCCCCTTTGCAGTCTTGGCAACTTCTGTAGGACAAATGATTTGAGCTTGCCACGATTATTCTGAAGCCACGTTCTTTCTTTCTTGTTTTCTTAAAAATGGTGCGGTTTTGGTTATGTCTGGCTTAATTTGCCCTGCATGAAATTTCTGTAGCAAGTTCAGTGTGACTTTCAATGATAATTTTAGAGGTTACAAGTCTTAAATGCCATATTAAAACCTGAAATGCTCAGAAACTGATACCACTTTCAAGTATCTTGGGTTTTTCAACTGGCACCTCCAAGGCTCCAACTCCAAGGTTAGGAAATCAGGTGGTATGCTCTTCTGCGTCAGTTCACTTCACTCCTTGAATTTGGCAGATGATTTTCTGCTCCAGTAGGTCTGTTGTCAGAGCATAAGTATTGTGTGTAATATTAAGCCATCTTCTCAGTCTCAGTGTGCACTGTGCACACCTGGGTGATTGATATAAGTTGCTTTACGAAGTCTTGCCAATTGATGTTGCTTGGTGTGGGTATCAGTTCCTCTGGGAATGCTAGAAATTGTTTTGTTTCCATCATAAATGGTGCTGACATGTTGAGCTCCTTTGATCAACCCCGGTCTTCACTGCACTTATCTGCGTTTGCCGACCAAAGAATTATTTGTCCAGGTTTCTTGCCTTCTTTTCATTTTGCTATCAGAGTTCCTTGGACTTCATAATTTGCTAGGCAGTTTTGTTCCGTGCTGATGTAAATGCTGAAGATGGGATGTCGTAAACTTGTTACTGATTCAATTGTGCATGTGTATTGCACCTGTTGGTGAATCAATAGTACCGGCTATCTGTCTACACATAAATAAAAATGGTCTTGATATCCGTTTGAAGACAGTTTGTTTGGCGATACTATCAAGGCATCAGGCGAGGTCACATGTTGAGTTCGCCACATTTTTTGTACTGAATGCCAAAGTGCTACCGTTAGGTGGCCCAGCGGACTGCATACTTTGTTCCATGATTTGTTGCTTGTTGATGTAAATGCAAAAGATGGAACGTTGTAAGCTTATAAGTGAACCAATTCTGCCTGTGTAATTCAGTGGATACAACAACTGTCACCGTATGGAGTCACATACCTTCAGGACAATGGGAAATTTCAGGTTTATGACGACAGAATCACAGCAAGCCACCAGCTAAGATTACAGTAAAGCTGAAACGAAGAAGCTGCCGGATTCGCCAGTAGCAAGAATGAAGAAACAGCAAGCTTCTACAGTAAGTATGCACATTTTACTGGCTTACTGCCAATTTGGCTTGACATTTCAATTGTCAGATGTAGTCATTTCGTTGCCAACCTGCAGCGAACCCCTTCGCCAACCCGTGCTTGCCTTGTTGATGCTGGACACGACCTGCCCGCTGGCTTGGCGGAGCTCGTTGTGCCCTGTCTAGAGCTTCCAGCAACGCTCTTCTGCTCAAAACAGCCGGCGCTCCTGCCGCTCACATCTGTGCAACCTTCTGAAGCACCCATGGCATCACCGAGGCCAAGCCCTCCAGCAGCCCGTCGGAAGACCTTGGCAGGCATGAGGATCTCCAAGGAAGGCGGGATCTCTCTGCAACGGATCAGGCGCCCTTCCAACCGCACGCCGGCTGCCCCGGTTGCAAAGGTGGCTGAGCGCCTTGTTTGTCACAGCCTGGGCATAACCAAAGATGGTGAAGATGTCACCGCTTCGACCCTGAATGTGTTCACGGAGAGATTCAAGGAGCAGCTCCCCCCTGAAGTGATTGTGGCCATGAGGGATTTTTTCAAGCTTGACGATAGTGCTGTTGCTGCTGTCGAGGACGCACTGATAGACCACGGTGGTGCAGCGGCTATGGCTCTGTGTGGCTGGAACAAGATGGCCAGGGATCGCAGCCGGCGATCGCCTGAGTAGGCAGTCCCTGGGTTAGGGCTTTCATGTTTGTTATGTTAGTACGCCATCCTGATGCTTTCCAGGAGATTGCACTTGCTACTAGTTTGCACGTATCCAGTTCGTGCATAGGTTTTAGTTGCTTTGGGTCTTGTAGATGGGACTGTGTTCCCATTGTGTGTGTGTTGGTGTTTAGTCAGGTTCGGCCGCGGGCCATGTACCTGGGACTTGGATCCCCTCCTGGTTGTATTATTGTTATTCCTTATGTTAGTCAAAGGGCATCTGCTGTGAACCCATGACAGAACAGCCTATCAATACACTCAGCTGGAATGTGAGAGGGCTTAATTGCCTGGACCGTAGAGCAGCTGTCAAGGCTACCATCTCTGACACCACTTGTCATTTGGTCTGTCTCCAGGAGACTAAGTTGAGCACCGTTGACAGATACATTGCTGCTTCTCTCGGTGGAAACAAGCTTCAGAGTTTCGCGCACCGACCGGCCACCGGAACCAGGGGCGGAATCCTTATGCTATGGGATGACAGCCTCCTTCATGTCTCCGACATCACCACCTCGACTTTTTGTCTCTCTGCTATGGTGCGGATTCGCGCTTCCGACGACTCCTTCAAAATCACGTCCGTCTATGGCCCCACCGACAGCGCCTCCAAAGACGCTTTCTTTGCAGAGCTGCTTAGCCAGAAGCCACCTCCGGGAGTGGCATGGCTTGCCACTGGAGACTTCAACCAAATCTACCATGCCAGGGATAAAAACAAACGGAATGTTAACCGTAGCAGAATCAATCGCTTTTGTGCCGCTTTGCAATCTTGCGAGCTCAAGGAGATCCATCTACAGAACAGGCGTTTCACCTGGAGCAATGAGAGGACAAATCCCACCCTTTGCAAACTTGACTCCTTCTTCTGCAACGCCGAGTGGGACACCACCTTCAACACCCATGTGTTGCATGCCTTGTCATCATCCCTCTCCGACCACTGCCCTCTCTTGCTTGCTGATGACAAAGGACCCAAAAGACCTCAGTCTTTCAAGTTTGAAAATTTCTGGACCTCCCTTCCAGGATTCCATGACATCGTCCAAAAGGCATGGGCCGAGGGCGTGTCACACACGGAGCCTTATCTCATTTTGCATCACAAGCTCAAGAAGACCGCGCTACGTCTCAAGGAGTGGAGTAGAAGACTCTTCTCAGCAGCGAACATTCACTTCCACGCGGCACTACCCGTGATCTTGAGGCTGGACATTGCGCAGGAATCGTGCCCCCTATCGCCGGAGGAGCTTGACCTACGTGCTAGACTAAAACGCAGGGTGATCAGTTTGGCAGTTCTGCAGAGGGCCAGAAAGAGCCAATGCGCCCGAATCACTAACCTCAAGGAGGGTGATGCAAACACAAAGTTCTTCCACCGCCGCGTCAATGCCCGAAGAAGAAAGAACCACATCCACCGCATCAAGCTCGCAAGCGGTTGGGTTACTGACCATGGCCAAAAAGAAAAGATCATCCATGACCACTTCTTTGAGGTCATGGGGAAGGGGCACACGAGCAACCTTGACTTCAATTGGGAGGAGCTCAATGTGCAGCCGGTCGACCTTCACACCCTGGATGACACTATCACTGAGGAGGAGGTTTGGAACGCCATTAAAGAAATGCCAAGCGACAAGGCTCCCGGCCCGGACGGCTTCACGGGTATCTTTTTCAAGAAATGTTGGGCCATCGTCAAACCTGATATCATGCGAGTCATCCACCGGTTTGACTCCCTTCACACGTCCAATCTTCAATGGTTGAACTCCGCCAATGTGGTGCTCTTGCCCAAGAAGGATGGCGCGGAGGGCATCTCCGATTATAGGCCCATAAGCCTCATCCATGCCATTGCCAAAATCATTGCTAAGGTGCTCTCCTTGCGGCTTGCCCCGCATATGGATGCCCTCATCTCCAACGCCCAAAGCGCCTTCATAAAAAAGAGAAGTATCCATGACAACTTCATGTATGTGCGGAACT